GAATTCCGGTGGTTTTTATTCAAATATTTTTTAATTAGTTTGAAAGAATCTCAAGGGTTCTTATCGTAGTATTCTTAAATCAGTTTCAAAGAATCCCGAGAGTTTCTCTCGTAATATTTTGAAATAGTTTAAAAGAATCCCGAGTGTTCCTGTCGTAGTATTTTTGAATTAGTCTGAAAGAATCCCGAGGGTCCCGTTGTAGTATTTTTGAATTAGTTCGAAAGAATGTTAGGGGGTTCCCATCGAAGTATCTTTGAATCAGTTTGAAAGAATCTGGAGGGCTCCTGTTGTGTTATTTTTGAAAGGAATTGAAATAATCCCGGGGATCCTATTGAATGAAGTACATATTTTTGAATTAGTTTGAAGAAATCTCAGGGGTTCCTGTCGTATTATTTTTGAATCAGTTTGAAAGAATCCCCAGGATTCCTATTGTGATATTTTAAATTAGTTTGAAAGAATCTTGAGGAGTTCTTATCGTGGTATTTTTGAGTTACTTTAAAAGAATCTCCGGGGTTGCTAGTGTATTATTTTTGAATTAGTTTGAAAGAATTCCCAAGATTCTTGTTCTAGTATTTCGGGTTAGTTTGAACGAATTCCGGTGGTTTTTATTCAAATATTTTTTAATTAGTTTGAAAGAATCTCAAGGGTTCTTATCGTAGTATTCTTAAATCAGTTTGAAAGAATCCCGAGAGTTTCTCTCGTAATATTTTGAAATAGTTTAAAAGAATCCCGAGTGTTCCTGTCGTAGTATTTTTGAATTAGTCTGAAAGAATCCCGAGGATCCCGTTGTAGTATTTTTGAATTAGTTGGAAAGAATGTTAGGGGGTTCCTATCGAAATATCTTTGAATCAGTTTGAAAGAATCTGGAGGATTCCTGTTGTGTTATTTTTGAAAGAAATTGAAATAATAACGGGGATCTTATTGAAGTACATATTTTTTAATTAGTTTGAAGGAATCTCAGGGGTTCCTGTCGTGTTATTATTGAATCAGTTTGAAAGAATCCCGAGGGTTCATATCGTGGTATTTTAAATTAGTTTGAAAAAATCTTGAGGCGTTCTTATCGTAGTAATTTTGAGTTACTTAGAAAGAATCTCCGGGGTTGCTACTGTATTATTTTTGAATCAGTTTGAAAGATTCCCCAAGATTCTTGTTCTAGTATTTTGAGTTCGTTTGAAAGAATTCCGGTGGTTTTTATTCAAGTGTTTTTGAATTAGTTTGAAAGAATCTCGGGGGTTCCTATGGTATTATTTTTGAATCAGTTTGAAAGAATGCCGAGGGTTCCTGTTGAAGTATTTTTGAATTAGTTTGAAAGAATCTCAAGGGTTCTTATCGTAGTATACTTAAATCAGTTTGAAAGAATCCCGAGGGTTCCTGTAGTAATATTTTGAGTTAGTTTAAAAGAGTCCCGAGGGTTCCTGTCATAGTATTTTTGCATTAGTCTGAAAAAATCCCGAGGGCAGACGGACAGACAGACGGAAACGGGAGACCCATTTCTTCGTACTCTAGGGGTCATGAAGGGTCGAAAAAATGTAAAAGTAGAGTGTCAGCCTTAATTATAATACTTCCTTCGCTTACGCTTACATTTTATAATTAAGTTTCACCCCTCGGCTTACGATGAATAAAAAAAATCATCAGAATTGAGATCGGGTGGGTGGGCGGGGCTTATATTTTGGCTTTTTTTTCTTAATATACACAGCCATCTTTTCATAACAAGAAATTTAAAACATGGTTTTTGCAAGGAAACATGGATTTTATAGGGCGGAGCCTATTGCAAGATCGATGTTTCCTTATAAAATTTCCATTTTAAACATGTTTTAAGTTTCATGTTGTGAAAAGACGTCTACACACATTAAAACGAAAAAGCAAAATGTAAGCCCGCCCACCCGCCCTATCTCAATTGTGATGATTTTTTTTATTCGCCATGAACCAAGGGGACGAAGTTTAACCGCAAAATACTCATTTCTTTACAGGAAATTAAAAATGAGTACCTATCGTGTTGTTCAAAGAATGCAATGTATATTAAGAAAAAAAGGCAAAATATAAACGCCACCCACCCACCCCATCTCAGTTGCGATATATTTTTTAATATATAGAAACTTAAAACACATTTAAAATGGGAAAGGATATACGGATTTTGCAATTATGCTCCGCCCCTTGGTCTGCCAACGAATGAAAACATCATTACTATTTAGATCAGGGCAATTATGGATGGAGCTTAATCTTCGGCTTTATTTTTTTCTTAATATACATAGTATGCTTTGAACAATACGATAATCAAAAACATATTTTTAATTTCTAGTAGAGAAATAAGGATTTTGCAGTTAATCACAATTGAGATAGGGCGGGTGGGCGGCCATACATTTTGCCTTTTCTTCTTAGTATGTGTAGATTTATTTCGCCAACAAGAAACTGAAAAGACGTCTAATATGGTAAATTTTTGTAATAATCATGTAAATCCTTCACTTTTCTTCTACAACCCCTTTAAATACGGCAAAAATTGAACATCACAGTTACAATCATCCTCAAATTCTGTCCGACAGGCATGATTTTGAAGTAGTTTGAAAGAATCTCGGGAACTATTTGGGCCTAGTTTTTGAAATAGTTTGAAAGAATTTTGCCGATCCCTTGTACTCTTTTTTTTTAGTAGTTTGAAAGAATCTTGGGGATCACTTGTGGTTTGTTTTTGAACTGAGTTGAAAGAATCTTGGGGACCTCTTTTGTTTTGGATTTGAAATAGTTTGAAAGAATCTCAACGAGCGCGTGTGGCTGGTTTTTGAAGTAGTTTGAAAGAAGTTCGGGGACCCCATGTCTCTGGTTTTTGACACAGTTTGAAAGAATCTCGGGGACCACTTTTGGTTTGGTTTTAAAGTACTTTGAAAGAATCTCGTAGTAGTAGATTGAAAAAATTTCGGAGATCTCTGTTGGAAAAAGTTAAACTTAGCCCCGCCCACCCACCCGTTGTTTAATTTGTTTCTTCTGAAATAAGAAATAAATCTTATAACAAATAGTATACAACAAAAACTTTACGATTGGCGCTTTTTTACAGCCTAATTTCTGTCAGTTACTTACCACTCCCATTCTGCAGAAAAACATATAATAAACTCCACCCACCCATCCGCCTCCATTTCGGTGATTAATTTTATATATAAAAAACTACCCCAATTGAAGAAAAGAAGAGGAAACTTAAAATATGTTTAAAATGGTAAATTTTTGTAGAAAAACATAGATTTTGCAATTAAGCTCCGCCCCTCTATGTGACAACGAATAAAAAATTCATCACAATTGAGATATGGGTGGGTGGGTGGGGCTTAAATATTGGCTTGTTTCTTAATGTATACCTATTTTCAACACCACGAAATTTAAAACATAATTCTAACCTGAAATTTACCATTTGATATTTTAAGCATTTTTATTGTTGAAAGAAGTCTAAATATATGTACTAAGAAAATTAAAGATTTCGAGGATTCCAAGGGTGTCAAAACTCTAAGGATTCTATTAATACTAAATTGATATTAGCTTCTCATGAACACCAATAAATAATTTTTTAAATTACACCTGAACGAGCTCGCTGGACTCGTATTTTAATCTGTTTTTTTTTTCAACGTTAGATCCTCCTAGAAAGGTGCAGGAAAAAGTCTCAGTAAATTAATAAATCTCTAAACTTAAAAAAAACACGCACCGTTAGAATACGAACGCAGCGAGCACGTTTAGTTTGCGGAAATCTCCCAAATTTTAACAGATAATCACAAATATTTTTAGGATTCACCTTTTTTAGACAATAAATATCTTATCAGTAATTTAGCTTCCCACGGAGACTGAGAAGTAATTTTTAATAACACCTGAACGTGCTCGCTGCGCTCGCATTTTTATCGTTCTTTTTTAAAATAATGCGGTTTCACAAGAACGTTTACAAATGACCTTCAGTGCTATCAAATTGAAGAGTTTAGCCCCTTTATGGTAGACAATTGGAAGAAAAATTATCAAAGGTTTCTTCAGCGAGTTTTGACTAAAATTTGGCATACAACTTTTGAACATTAAAAAAAAAAGTAAGCCCGCCCACCCGCCCTGTCGCATTTCTGATTATTTTTTTATTCGCCGTGAACCAAGGGGGCGGAGCTTAAGTGCTAAATACTTATTTCGTTACAAGAAATTAAAAACATGTTTTGAGTATCGCGTTGTTCAAAGAATACTATATATACTAAGAAAAAGAGGCAAAATATAAACCCCGCCCACCCACCCCATCTCAATTGTGATGATTTGTTGTATTCTTAGTAGAAAGAATTTTGGAGTCCCGTGAACATATACAATCACAACGAATTTTTATATTCTAATTTATTTGTGGCACTTCGCATATTTATTAACATTACCTGTGATGATTTCTAGTGCAGAGCGTAGTTTTTCTAGACTAAAATTCGTTAAAACCCGTTTGATACAAAACTGAGAGTATTAAAATCACCCATAAAAATAACTTAATTATTTATTATCCACTGGCATATCAGAGATGTCAAGTTTACGAAAAAATGACTCAATCAACAAGAAATAAAAATACAAATCTTGATTATCGTTTTACCAAGTCCAAGAGCGTTTTAAAGTAAATATACACCCAGTTCGATAAATTCGGAGCTTATTTCTAATAATATCGCCAACAAAGAGACGGGGAAACAAAAATGCGCATTTTTGTTCTCTATGAACTCCCTGACAACCACATACTGCGCATCCTGTCGTATAATCTTAAAATAATCAGACGTTCAGCTAAAAGACAAAGAAGACGTCATTCACCGATGTTGGTTTTTATTTCTAAATTAAATACAGGATGTCCCGATAGCTCTATGGTTCGCGATTAATGACCTCCTTTGCACTATTAAACGTTTTTTAAATTACTGTGGTGAAACTTTTTCAAATCATAACAAAATCAAGAAAATTGTGTATTAATTATCTACTAATAACAAAGTAATATCCAGAATTTCGGAAAAGATTTCGTTATTTATCATTCTTTTCAGACAACCGGTTATGGGTGCATTTCGGACAGCCTACATGTTAAACGGCATCAGTTTTGCGTACACTACACACGCAAGGTTCGTCCAAAAAAATAAAAAAATTAAAAATAATAACACAGCCCAAATTCATTGCGACTTTTAACCCTTTAACCACACGACCCCGAACACACAAATACACCACCTTCACATTTAGTTAAACACCAAAATCTGGCTTCCCAAAAACCTCCAACCTACCATGATCATATGTTAACGTATGCGAGTCCTCGCTTTTGTCGGTAGCCGCCTTAGGAAGCTTTGGATTAACTTTTCCCTTCGTTCCTCGATCCTCATCCGCAGGCTGTCGAATATTTCTTTGTTATTACAGTTTGCGGAAGCCACATATCTTCTCCTCGCGCCGATCAAGCAAACGTTATTTATTATCAAAAAATGAAACCTGATAAATTATTTCGTACAAAGCCTTTCCTCCCAGTATTGTGTTAGCTGGAAGCGCGTGGGAATGTTTAGACTTTGCATGTCTACGGTGACGCGTAAGCTTCTTAAGTTCCCAAACACGTGGTAATGACGGAAAGTCCGAGTCGTGGCAAGAAGTTTCCGAGAATTGGCTTCGGATTTGTGTAGCAGCCGGAAATTACGTCGGTAAAGAGGAGATGGGTTTTTAGGGGCTCGTTGGGCTGGGTGCGAATTTTCTAAATATTTACACGACAAAGCAAATGGTTTAGAGTCGTCTGGACGAAAGTTTCCTCGCCCCTAAAGCACAACCAGAGAGTCCAGGTCTTTATAGATTTACTAATGTGTGATTTATGAATCCGTGTTGAAAATAATAATAATTTTATTTGTTGTCTGTCAAAAACCCATCACCATCGCTTTCCCTCTACCACAATCAGCCCACTTGAGCACATAGTCACCACCATCCCCTATCGATTTTCCCTCCACTGCCGAGCTCACCCCTCGAAAGACACGGCTTATGACAACGAAATATTTCATATTGCAGTGGCGGATCGAGGAGGAATCCAACAATGGATATCAACATGGCGACACAACCAATAGGGACGTCTCGGTAATAATGCTGGGGCCGAACCCATCGACATCGACGGTGGAACACTTCACATATCGCGTCAATATTATTGCAATGCCCCTCGCCACTCGCCTACTCCATGGCTACCATTGTCCGGTTATCACCGCTTAAAACAACAACGGGGACGATGGTACGGACGGAGTTTACTAATACGTGTGAGACCAGATGGACGCGAGGATAATGAGCTGTCGACTTGATGGGTGTTGTCGTTCTTGAGTGTTAAAAAGTTCTGTGACAATAAAGATTTGGTTAAGTGGATGGGAGGGTTTTATTGGGGTGACGGGGTGATCATTAAGAGAATTTTATGGGTCAACATTTTTTCGAAAGTGTGAAAATACATTAAGTATTACATTATTTATGAATTTTGTAGTACTTGTTGAGATCATAAATTCGATTTTTCACAGTACTTTACCAAAACTAACTCTAAATTGTTGTCTAGGTGTCTGGAGATAATTACTAATACATAGTTTAAAAGTCGAAAATCTAAGGACCTTGTCTCTATTTCTCACTGGAAAACAAAGTTCAAATAGACTATAAAAATTTAAAAATTATGACCTTCGAAAATGTAGTGTACATTTGCATTTGAACATTCTAGAATTTCAAAGTCTAAATTACTGAGGTGAAATTAATAGATTATTATTAAAGAAAATCCAAAATTTCAAGGACAGGACATTTTTCCCAGGACCGCTGCATTTTCCCAGTTTCTCTGAATTTTCACACAATTATTGTAATAAGTCTCAATAAACACACACACGTCGAAATCACGTTGATTAAACTCTTTCGACGTTAAAACAGCGTTTTATCTTTAAAATTTCGTGTATAATAATCACCTTATATCAATTAATAACGTAAATACAACGTGTACAAGGTGGATTTTTAAGCACGTGGTTCTTTTTAGATCTCATTAATTATTGTTGTTAGTTTATCAGAGACAGAAAAAGAAGTTAAAGGTCAAAGTTATACTTATGATTCTTTAAGTACAATAAACTAAAATTATTTTCAACTATACAGAGCGTTCGTTTCTGAGGCGTAACATAGAATTTACTTCTTTTTAATGAAACACACCATATATTTTTGCGTACTCTTCAATTTCAAAATTTTGACGAGGTGTTACTACGTTATTTCAATTTTCTTAAATTTTTGTTGGCAAGCAAGGATTCACAAAAAAAAAATCACTATCGGATTATTTTTAAAATCTGCGTTAGAATATTTTGTAGAAAAATAAACAGAGGTACGTGCTTTGTAGTACGAATTAAATTAAATTTGAATACACCGAGTGTTTATAAAAATTTTCTAAAACATAATTTTCTAAATTTGTTATTTCGTTTTTTTTTCCAATAAAATACTTACACTCTGTATATTTGCAAAATAATAAAATTAATTAACTTTAATCTCTAACCTTTTTTGATATTTTCAATAAATACCGAGATTTAGCGCAATTAATGACTCACCCTATATAATCGAAAAATACGTTGAAGACTGCGACATGTTGACGTAATTATAACGATTGTTTGGTCAACATAACAACGTTTTTTCAACGGAATTGTGTTCACTCACAACCTTGGGCTCCCAATTTTCAGGAAATTACTGTTATTATTTTTAAAATTTGATAGAAAATCAGTTTATTAAACTTTTGTCTTTCATTTCATATCAAGTTTACTAGAGAAAGAACAATTTATTCTTAATATTTTAGCACCAGATGTTCATTTTTTTTAGAATTCTAAATTTTTTAATCATTGGTATAATTTATAAGATCCAAAAATATATATCGTAAAATTAAAACATTGTACTAAACAGCTCACAGACAATAAATCTTATTACAATTATTACTAGTAAAAAACAAAATTTTGTGAAACTCCAAGGATGTATGAGTTTAAAGAAAAAAATTTAAACTTCTTTCGATTATGTATTATTGCTATTTTTTTTTTTTTTGAAGTACATACTTTGAAAAATCTTGAGGACTTCTTGTGTGTGATTTTTAAAGCAGCTTGAAAGAGTCTCAGGATCCCTTTTGTTTTGGTTTTGGCCTTGTGTTTGATTTTTGAAGTAGTTTGAAAGAATTTCGGGCACTTCCAGTGATTTGTTTTTGAAGTATTTTGAAGGAATCTTGGGGTCCCTTATTTTCTTTTTGAAATAATGTGAAAGAATTTCGGGAATACCTTTTGTTTTGGTTTTAAAGTCGTTTGAAAGAATCTCGAAAACCCTTTTGTTTTGTTTTTGAAGTAGACAGAGAATTTCGAAGATTCTTTGTTTTGTTTTTGAAGTAATTAGAAACAATCTCGAGGACTTCAAAATTACTTTTTGAAGAAATTTTAAAGAATCTGGTTTTATATACGATTAAAATTATAATTTCATGGAAAATGGGAAAATATTCAAATTAAAGAACCTCCGGATCCTTCTTGTTTTGGTTTTGATCTAACTTAAAAAAATCTCGATGACCTCTTGTGTCTAGTTTTTGAATTAGTTTGAAAGAATTTCGGGGACCTCCACTGATTTGTTTTTGAAGATGTTTGGAAGAATCTTGAGATCCCTTCTCGTCTTTTTCAAGTAATGTGCACGAAAGAATCTCGGGGATCACTTTTGTTTTAATATTGAACTAGACTGAAAGAATCTTGGGAATCCTTTGTCTTGTTTTTGAAGTAATTTGAAAGAATCTCATGGATCTCTTGTGTGTGGTTTTTGAAGTAGTTTGAAAAAATCTCGGGGACCTCTTTTGTCTTGTGTTTGAAGTAATTATAAAAAACTCCGAAGACTCTGTGCATCTAGTTTTTGAAGTAATTTTTAAACAATCTACTTTTATATAAGATTAAAATTATAATTTAATTAAGAATGGGAAGATATTCCAATTAAAAAACCTCGAAGAATCTCGGGGATCCCTTTTGTTTGGTTTTTAAAGTAGTTTGAAAGAATTTCGGGGACCTCCAGTGATTTGTTTTTGAAGTAGTTTGAAAAAATGTTGAGATCCCTTATCTTCTTTTTCAAGGAATTGTGTTTACTCACAACTTTGGATTCCCAATTTTCAGGAAATTATTGTTATCTATAATTTTTAAAATTTGAAAGAAAATCAGTTTATTAAACTTTTGTCTTTCATTGCATATCAAGTTTACTAGAGAACAAACTATTTATCCTAAACATTTTAGCACCAGATGTTAATTTTTTTTAGAACTCTAAAATTGTTTCTATATTCAGACTAAACACATGAATTAAAAAGTAGTCTTTGGTATAATTTATAAGATCCAAAAATATATATCGGAAAATTAAAACACTGTAATAAATACCTCACAGACAATAAATCTTACTTATATACTTACTATGTATTAGCTACTCGTAAAAAAACAAAATTTTGTCAAACTCCAAGGATGTATGAAATTTAAAGAAAAAAATGAAAACTTCCTTCGATTATGTATTATTGCTATATATTTTGTGTTTGAAGTAATTTGAAAGAATCTCGAGGACTTCTTGTGTCTGATTTTTAAAGTAGCTTGAAAGAATTTCGCTTTGGTTTTGGCCTTGTGCCTGGTTTTTGAAGTAGGTTGAAATAATTTGGAAGATACTTTGTTTTATATTTTAAAGTGATTAGAACGAATCTTAATAACTCCGTGCATCTAGTCTTTGAAGTTATTTTAAAGAATCTGTTTTTATATAAAATTAAAATTATAATTTAATGGAGAATATGACAATATTCAGATTAAAGAACCTCGGTATCCCTTTTTTTTGGTTTTGACCTAATTTGGAAGAATCTCGGGCACCCCTTGTGTCTGGTTTTAGAAGTACTTAGTTTGAAAGAATTTCAGGGACCTCCAGTGATTTGTTTTTGAAGTAGTTTAAAAGAATCTTGGGTTCCCTTATCTTCTTTTTGAAATCATGTGAAAGAATCTCGGAGATCCCTTTTGTTTTGGTTTTGAGGTAGATTGAAAAAATCTTGGGGATCCCTTGTCTTGTTTTTGAAGTGATTTGAAAGAATCTCAGGGACAACTTCTGTCTGATTTTTAAAGTAGTTTGAACGAATCTCGGGGATCTCTTGTGTGTGGTTTCTGAAGTAGTTTCAAAGAATCTCGGGGATCCTTTTTGTTTTGGTTTTGAGGTGGACTGAAAGAATCTTGGGGATCCTTTGTCCTGGTTTTGAAGTGATTTGAAAGAATTTCAGGGACCCCTTGTGTCTGATTTTTGAACTAGTTTAAAAGAATCTCGGGGACCAGTTGTGTCTGATTTTAAAGTAGCTTGAAAGAACCTCTGGGTCCCTTTTGTTTTGGTTTTGGCCTTGTGTCTGGTTTTTGAAGTAGTTTAAAAGAATATTGGGATCCCTTATATTCTTTTTGAAGTAATGTGAAAGAATCTCGAGGATCCCTTTTGTTCTTGATTTGAAGTAGATTGAAAGAATCTTGGGAATCCCTTTTCTTATTTTTCAAGTAGTTTGAAAGAATCTCGGGAACCTCTTGTGTACCATTTTTCATGTACCTACTTTGAAAGAATCTCATGGATCTCTAGTGTGTGCTTTTTGAAATATTTTGAAAGAATCTCGAAGACCTCTTTCGTTCTGGTTTTGAAGTACATAGTTTGAAAGAATCTCGGGGACTCCTTTTATTTTGTTTTTGAAGTAGTTTGAAAGAATTTCTAAAATTTTTTGTCTTGTTTTCGAACTAATTAGGAAGAATCTCGAGGACTCAGTGTATCTAGTTTTTGAAGTAATTTTTAAAAAATCTACTTTTACATAAGATTAAAATTATAATTTAATGAAGAATGGGAAAATATTCATATTAAAGAACCTCGGGATCCCTTCTGTTTTGGTTTTGACCTAATTTAGAAAAATCTCGGGGACTCCTTGTGTCTGGTTTTTGAAATAGTTTAAAAGAATTTCGAGAACCTCCAGTAATTTGTTTTTGAAGTAGTTTGGAATAATCTTGGGATCCCTTTATTTGCCTTATCAAGTAATGTGAAAGAATCTCGGGATCCTTTTTGTTTTCGTTTTAGAAATAGTTTGAAAGAATCTCGGAGACCCCTTTTGTTTTGGTTTTGAAGTAGTTTGAAAGAATCTCTCGGACCCCTTTTCTTTTGATTGTGAAGTTGTTTGAAAGAATCCCGGGGACCTCTATTGTTTTGTTTTTGAAGTAGTTTGAAAGAATTTCGAAGATTTTTTGTTTTTGAAGTAATTAGAAAGAATCTCAAGGACTCCGTGCATCTAGTTTTTGAAGTAATTTTTAAAGAGTCTGCTTTTATATAAGATTGAAATTAAGTATAATTTAATGGAGAATGAGAAAATATTCAAATTAAAGAACCTAGAGAAAAATCCCTTATCCTCATTTTCAACTAATGTGCATAAAAGAACCTCGGGGATTCCTTTTGTTTTGATTTTGAAGTAGATTGAAAGAATCTCGGGGGTCCCTTATTTTTGGTTTTTGAAGTACATGGTTTGAAAGAATCGCGGGGAACTCTTGTGTCTGATTTTTGAAGTAGTTTGAAATAATCTCGAGGGTTCTTTTTGTTGCGGTTTTGAAGTAGTTTGTAAGAATTGAAAGAATCTGGGGATCATTTTTGTGTTGTTTGTGAAGTACATAGTTTGAAAGAATCTCGGACATCCGTTGTGTATGGTTTTTGAAGAAATTTGGAAAAATACCGAGGACTCCTTTCGCCTTTTGTTTTGTTTTTGAAGTAGTTTAACACAATCTCGGGAACATCTTGTGTTCAATGTGACTAGACTTGTGTCTGGTTCTTAAAGTAGTTTGAAATAATCGAAGGTTCTTTTTGTTGTGTTTTTGAAGTAATTAGTTTAAAAGAATCTCGGGGATCCCTTTAGTTTTGTTTTAGAAGCACATAGTTTGAAAGAATCTTGGGGACACCTTGTACTTGATTTTTGAATAGTTTGAAAATATCTCGAAGACCCCTTTTGTTTTGGTTTTGAAGTTGTTTGAAAGAATCTCGGGGACCTCTATTGTTTTGTATTTGAAGTAATTATAAAAAATCTCGAGTATTCCGTGCATCTAGTTTTTGAAGTAATTTTTAAAGAATCTGCTTTTATATGAGATTAAAATTATACTCTAACGGAGAATGGGAAAATATTCAAATTAAAGTACCTAGTTTTGACCTAATTTAAAAGAATCCAGGGGACCCCTGGTGTTTGGTTTTTGAAGTAGTTTGAAAGAATCTTGAGATCCCTTATCTAATTTTTCAAGTATGTGCTTGAAAGAATCTCGGGGATTTCTTTTGGATTAATTTTGAGGTAGATTGAAAAAATCTTGGAGATCCCTTGTCTTGTTTGTGAAGTAGTTTGAAAGAATCTCATGGATCTCTTATGTGTGGTTTATGAAGCACTTTGAAGGAATCTCTGGGACCTCTTGTGTATGGTTTTTGAAGTAGTTTGAAAGAATCCCGGGAACCTCTTGTGTCTGGTTTTTGAAGTAGTTTGAAAGAATCTCTCGGAGGCTTTTTGTTTTAATTTTGAAGTTGTTTGAAAGAATCTCGGTGACATCTATTGTTTTGTTTTTGAAGTACATAATTAGAAAAAATCTCGGGTATTCCGTGCATCTAGTTTTTGAAGTAATTTTTAAAGAATCTGCTTCTATATAAGATTAAAATTATAATCTAACAGAGAATGGGAAAATATTCAAATTAAAGAACCTCAGAATCTCTTCTATTTTGGTTTTGACTTAATTTAGAAGAATCTCGGAGACCCATTGTGTCTGGTTTTTGAAGTAGTTTGACAGAATCTTGAGATCCTTTATCTAATTTTTCAAGTAGTGTGCATGCAAGAGTCTCGGGAATCTCTTTTGTTTTAATTTTGAAGTAGATTGAAACAATCTTTAGGAACCTTTGTCTTGTTTTTGAAGTAGTTTGAAAGAATCTCATGTATCTCTTGTGTCTGGTTTTTGAAGTAGTAGTTTGAAAGAATGTAGGCGACTCCTTTTGTTTTGATTTTGAAGTAGTTTAAGAGAATTTCGAGGATTCTTTGTCTTGTTTTCGAAGTAATTAGAATTAATCTCGAGGACCCAGTGTATCTAGTTTTTGAAGTAATTTTTAAAAAATCTGCTTTTATATGAGATTAAAATTATAATCTAACGAAGAATGGGAAAATATTCAAATCAAAGTACCTCGGGATCCGTTCTATTTTGGTTTTGACTTAATTTAGAAGAATCTCGGGGAACCCTTGTGTCTGATTTTTGAAGTAGTTTGAAAGAATCTTGCGATTCCTTATTTAATTTTTCAAGTAATGTGCATTGAAAGAATCTCGGGGATCTCTTTAGTTTTAATTTTGAAGTAGAGTGAAAAAATCTTGGGGATCCCTTGTCTTGTTTTTGAAGTACCTACTTAGTTTGAAAGAACCTCATGGATCTCTTGTGTAGTGTAGTTTCTGAAGTAGTTTGAAAGATTTTCGAAGATCCTTTGTCTTGTTTTTAAAATAATTAGAAAGAATGACGAGGACTCCGTGTATCTAGTATTTGAATTAATTTCAAAGAATCTGCTTTTATATGAGGTTAAAATTATAATCTAACGGAGAATGGGAAAATATTCAAATTAAAGTATCTCGGGATCCCTTCTATTTTGGTTTTAACCTAATTTAGAAGAATCTCGGGGACCACAGGGTGTCTGGTTTTTGAAGTAGTTTGAAAGAATCTTATGGATCTCTTATGTGTGGTTTATCAAGTACTTTGAAGGAATCTCTGGGACCTCTTGTGTATGGTTTTTGAAGTAGTTTGAAAGAATCCCGGGAACCTCTTGTGTCTGGTTTTTGAAGTAGTTTGAAAGAATCTCTCGGAGCCTTTTTGTTTTAATTTTGAAGTTGTTTGAAAGAATCTCGGGGACCTCTATTGTTTTTTGTATTTGAACTAATTAGAAAAAATCTCGAATATTCCGTGTATCTAGTTTTTGAAGTAATTTTTAAAGAATCTGCTTTTATATAAGATTAAAATTATACTCTAACGGAGAATGGGAAAATGTTCAAATTAAAGTACCTCGGAATCCCTTCTATTTTCATTTTGACCTAATTTAGAAGATTCTCGGGGACCCCTTGTGTCTGGTTTTTGAAGTATTTTGAAAGAATCTCGGAGATCTCTTGTATATCGTTTTTGAAGTAGTTTGAAAGAATCTCGGAGACTCCCTTTGTCCAGTTTTTGAAATAGTTTGAAAGAATTTTGGGGATCACTTTTGTTTTATTTTTGAAGTAGTTCGAAAGAATCTCGGAAATTCCTTGTGTATGGTTTTTGAAAAAATTTGGAAGAATACCAGGGACTCCTTTCTCCTTTTGTTTTGTTTTTTAAGTAGTTTGACACAATCTCGGCGACCTCTTTTGTATGGTTCTTGAAGTAGTTTGAAATAATGTTGCGTTTTTGAAGTAAGTAGTTTAAAAGAATCTCGGGGATCCATTATGTTTTGTTTTTGAAGTAGGTACATAGTTTGAAGGAATCTTGGGGACACCTTCTGCTTGATTTTTGAATAGTTTGATAGAATTTCGGCGACCTTTATTGTTTTGTTTTTGAAGTACGTAATTAGAAAAAATAACGAGTATTCCGTGTATCTGGTTTTTGAAGTAATTTTTAAAGAATCTGCTTTTATATAAGATTAAAATTATAATCTAAGGGAGAATGGGAAAATATTCAAATTAAAGTATCTCGGGATCCCTTCTATTTTGGTTTTAACCTAATTTAGAAGAATCTCGGGGACCACAGGGTGTCTGGTTTTTGAAGTAGTTTGAAAGAATGTTGAGATCTCTTATCTAATTTTTCAAGTAAAAACTATAATTTAAAAGAGAATGGGAAAATATTCGAATTAAATCAGAATTATCCTAAGCTTGGAATCAATGAAAGAACATTTCACAAAAATAACCGAAGGGACTGAGTGACAACTAGAAGTATTTATATTGGTAAACGAGATAATTTTGGTAACTTTTTTCACAAAGTATTTAACGTTGTCATGATGGCACTACACTAAAAATGCAAAAGTCACTATTGTCATTTTTAGTTTGTCTTTTTTGTTAAGCTTTTTTTATTTCTTTTCGAAAAAGTGCGAATTCGTCGATTCATGGTACCACCAGATTAGAACACACTTCTGCCATCTAGTACCTTTATTAAAGAAAATCCCTGAAGACCACATTGAGCGCAAATATCTGTCAAATAATACAGATTCCTGTAAAACCGCTACAATTTCAAGAAGTTTTTACTTTCCAGATATAGATGTCACCAACTTCGTTCCAAAAATTAACTGACAATTCATCTAACATAACCTAAATTTTAACGTCAAAAAATAACCAAAAATGAACCACAAAAATGTATAGCCACTTACACAAATACAACCACATACTGCGTACAATATCTAGGTCCCCATTCATACGAAACCCACCACCTAACTACTTAAACACAAACCAAAATGTCATCACCCCGACAAAGAGGTTATCCACAAACGTCTCCTTTATAACCCCCCTAGTACGTACCGGCAAACCCCATTTAATATTTATTCCACCACGAAAATTTCAGGTACTTCGAAAAATTGACAAAGAATACGCCGCAGTATGCTCCCTAATACAACGATCCGGTTTACAAAACATCAACGATTTGCCGTTTTACTTAAACAGGAGGGATCTCCACTCGTCGCAACCTCACCAACAGACTCCCGGTCCTGGAAAACCAGGCGATGACAAAAACAAACCCAACAAAGACGACGACGACGACAAAGACAAAATTTCGTCATTGTTGGCGAAGGCATTTTTGTGGATGCTCACAGCGTATATGGTTATAGCGATAATATCGTTGATGTTTCCGAGTAGCAACCAGCCGGAAGTACGTCACAAATTCGTATTGTGTGTCTTATTAAACTTTCCGTGAATTTTTATAGATTGTAAGATATGTTGCCTGGAACGAGTTCCTTTACCAAATGCTCTCGAAAGGAGAGGTTGAAGAGATCATTATCCGCCCCGATATTGAAATCGTCACCATCATCCTCTACGAAGGCGCTATCATTAAAGGAAAAAAAGTGGACAACAGGACTTACCACATGAACGTAGTGGATATAAATAAATTCGAGGATAAACTAAGAGAAGCTGAACGTCGTTTGGGGATTCAGGATGGGGTCCCCATCACGTTCGAACGAGGAACTGACACGGCTGGAAAACTCCTAGTTTCGTTGTTAATAGTAGCCATATTAATCTCCCTCCTAGCGAGAAGCAAAAGTATTAGGCCCCCAATCAATATGGACACTTTTGTAAAGTTAATAATTAGTAATTGTGAGTTGATTATTTATGTGGTGTTTTTAGACTCAACTGGGGCGCGCCAAATTCACCCTAGTCGACCCGCTAACCGGTCCTGGAAAAGGTGTCCATTTTTCGGATGTGGCGGGGCTCAGGGAGGCCAAACTCGAGGTGATGGAGTTTGTGGATTACTTGAAACGGCCCGAGCATTATAAGAGTTTGGGGGCGAAAGTGCCCAAAGGGGCGCTGCTTTTGGGGCCGCCTGGGTGTGGGAAGACGTTGTTGGCCAAAGCGGTGGCGACTGAGGCTAATGTTCCGTTTTTGTCGATGAATGGGTCGGAGTTTATTGAGATGATTGGTGGATTGGGAGCGGCACGAGTGAGGTATGAAATTTGTATTTTGTAGTGAGTAGGCAACCAACAATTCATCATTATGTCATTAACTCCGTAAATATACCAAGAATCGGCTCCTAACGGTAATACAAATACCTGAACTGTCCTGGAGTTATGTCCCGTTAAATTTGAAAAAAAAAAACTTTTAATTCATTCGAATTTAAACTTTCAAAAGCAAATTCAAAGTTTTTTTTGTAGTTTCAGTCTTATTTTCGAAATTGGTATAACATTTAAAGTTGTCCAAATTTTGATCACACATGAAACTGTAAAATCGATTTTTCAGTTTTTATTACTTTTTGTTTTTTTAGTGTTTCATTTTTCAGTTTCTCGATTTACGCTTGGTTTTTTCGATTTAAAAAAATAATAATTTTGCAATTCTTGTTTTTTTAGATTTTAAATTTTTAATTTTTCGACTTTTCAGTTTTCGATTTTGCGATATTTCAGTTTTTCGACTTGAGAATTTTCTTCTCTCCTATTTTTCGAATTTTCAATTTTTCGATTTCTTCTCATTTTTTCGATTTTTTAGTATCTCGATTTACACTTTGTTTTTCTAATTTTTAATATTTTCAATTTTCTATTTTTTCGTTTCAAAAATTTTTCGATTTACAATTATTCGATTTTTCAGATTTACACTTTTACTCTTTTCGAGTCTTTTCGATTTTATCGATTTTTGGATTACAGTTCGTTTTTTTTTCTTGTCAATTTTTTAGTTTCTCCACTTACACTTTGTTGTTTCAATTTTTAAAATTTTCGATTTTACAATCTTTCGTTTTCTAAATTTTTCGATTTTTTGATTATTTTTCGATTTTTCGATTAGATTTGGCTCTTTTTTTTAACTTTTCAGTTGTTCCCTTATTTAGCTTCTGGATTTACACTTTGTTTTTCCAATTTTAAAAATTTTCGATTTCTACTTTTTAAAATTTTCGATATTTTTCAGTTTCTTGATTTTTAATTTCTGGCCTTTATACTTTTTGTTTTTGCGATTTCCAAATTCTCCATTTTCAAAATGTTTGATTTTACAATTTTTCAATTTTTCAGTTTCTTGATTTTTAAATTTCCAACTTCCAAATTTTTGTTTTATTGATTTTTTAATTTTTCCATTTTCAAAATGTTTAACAATTGTTTGATTTTTAATCATTTCGGTTCTTTTATTTTCCTGTTCGATTTTTCAATTTCATGCCTTACATTTTGTTTTTCCCTGTTTTTTAAATTTTCGAGTTTTAATATCCTCGATTTTACGATTCAATTTTTCGTTTATTAAATTTTTGCATTTGCAATTTTGCGATTCTATGATTTTTTCAGTTTTTGAATTTTTAATTTTTCGACTTTACACTTTTTGTTTCTTCCGATTTTTAATTATTCGATGTTTCAATTTTTCTTTTCTTAAAATATTTTTCCGATTTTTGGATTTTTTTTTTAAGTTTTCGATTTACAGTTTTTCGATTTTACGATTTTTCAATTATTTTTTTAATATACTTTCATTGTTTCTCAGTTCTTCGATTTACATTGTTTTTTTTTTTAATTTTAAAAGTTTCGATTTACGAATTTTTCGTTTCCTAAATTTTTTTGTTTGCAATTTTTCGATTTTATGATTTTTCAGTTTTTCGATTTAAAGCACTTTTCGTTTTAAAAAATTTCAGTTTTCGATTTTTTGATTTTTCGATTTTTCGGTCTTCGATTTTTCATTTTTCGATATTTTTAATTTTTTTCCTTCAATTTTTTGATTTTACGATTTTTCGATTACATTTCGTTTTCTTTTCATATTTCATTCAGTTGTTCGATTTTTCACTTTCTCGATTTATACTTCGTTTTTTTTTCAATTTTTCTTTTCCTACATTTTTCAACTTCTCGATTTATTCATTATATTTTGTTTTTTTTTATTTTGAATTTTTCCATTTTTGATTTTTCGATTTTATGATTTTATCATTTTTCCATTACTTTTCGTGTTTTCGATTTTTCAATTTCTCAATATTTAATTTTTCAACTTTTCACTTATTTCTATTGTTTATTTTTTCCATTTTACAATGTTTCGTTTACTTTTCGTATTTTCGATTTTACAGTTTCTCGATTTTTAATGATTAAAATTTTCATTTCGTTTTTTTACTTTTCGATTGTTCGAAATTAAGCAAAAAATCAAAGTGTAAATCGAAAAACTGAAAAATGTTTGATTTTAATTTTTTTTGATTTTTAATAATTTCGTTTCTTTTATTTTCCTTTCGATTTTTCAATTTCCTGTCATTCATTTTACAGTTTTTCGTTTTCCAGTTTTATGTTTCCTAAAATTTTCGATTTGCAATTTATCGATTTTATGATTTTTCAGATTTTGGAATTTTTATTTTTCGTTTTTTCACCATTTTTGTTTTTTTCGATTTTTAATTTTTCGATGGTTTAATTTTTCCTTTCGTCAAATATTTTAGGATTTTTCGACTATTTTTCGCTTTTTCGATGTTTCATTTACTCGATTTTTAATTTCTCCATGTTTCAATTTTTTTATTTAAAATTTTTCAATTTCACGATTTTTCAGTTACATTTCAGTATGTCAGTTTTTCGATTTACACTGGTTTTTTAATTTTAAATTCTACGATTTTCTAATTTTTCGTTTTCTAAATTCTCCGATTTGCAATTTTTTGATCTTCCAATTTTTCGATTTTGTAATTTTTTGTTTTTTCAATTTTTCGACTCCGCACTTTGTGGTTTTTTGATTTTTCAATTTTTCTATTTTCAAAATCATTAATTTTACATTTTTCCGATTTTTAATTTTCGATGCTTCGAATTTTTCGTTTCCGCAATTTTATGATTTTTCAGTTTTCGATTTTACACTTCTAGACTTTTGGATTTTCAAAATTTCGATTGACAATTTTCATTTTTTTCAATTTTCCGATTTGCATTTTTCGATCTTCCAATTTTTCGATTTTGTAATTTTTTGTTTTTTCAATTTTTCCAATTTTTCCAATTTTCAGTTTCTCTATTATGAATTTTTCGACTTCACATTTTGTGGCTTTTTGGTTTTTCAATTTTTCCATTTTCAAAATCATTAATTTTACATTTTTGCGATTTTTAATTCTTCGTTTACTTTTGATTTTTCAGTTTCTCGATTTTCGTTATTTCGATATTTCAGTTCTTCGATTTTACACTTTTCGGTTTTTCAATTTTTCGGATTCTAGATTTTCGATTTCTCGATTTTTCAATTTTTCGATTTGCGATTTTTCGATCTTCCAATTTTTCGATTTTGTAATTTTTCTCTTTTCCAATTTTTCAGTTTTTCGATTTTTAATTTTTCGACTTCACACTTTTTGGTTTTTTGACTTTTCATAATGTTGTAAATTTTACAATTTGCCGATTTTTAATTTTTAATTTTCGGTCTTTCAATTTTTCGTTTTTTTAATCTCTACAATTTTTCGTTTACTTTTTTGATTTTTCACTCTGTCGTGTGTCAATTCCGATGTTGCAATTTCTCGAAATTTTGATTTGCGATTTTTCGATTTGTAATTTTCAATTTTTCACTTTCTCGATTTTTAATTTTTGATTTCATTCCTTTTAGTTTTTCAATTTTTCTACTTAAATGTCTCGTGGTTTGGATTTTCAGTTTCTCGATTTTTAATTTTTCGATGTTTTAATTTTTCTATTTTATTTTTCTGACTATAGTTTTTCCAGTTTCTTTATTTTCCGACTTTTCGTTTCTGCAGTTTTTCGATTTGCAATTTTCAGTTTGTCGAATTTTTCGATGTTTCAATTTTTCGAGTATACATTTTTTCATTTTTCAATTTTCGGCTCTAGATTTTCGGTTTCCCGATTTTGCAATTTCTCGATTTTTAATTTTGCGGTTTTTCAATTTTTCGATTTACAATTTTCAATTTTTCACTTTCTCAATTTTTAATTTTCCAATGTTTCAATTTTTCGTTTCTCCAATTTTTCGATTTTACGATTTTTCGATGTATCCATATTTTGATTTTACACTCCCTTTTTTCGATTTTTCAGTTTTTTGGATTCTAGATTTTTCTGTTTCCCCATTTTTTATTTTTCGATTTTTCAATTTTTAGGTTTGCAATTTTTCGCTATTTCAATTTTAGATTTTTCACTTTCTTGATATGTATGTATTTAATTTTTGGGTTTTTTTAATTTTTTGACTTTTCAATAGCGAATGGAACGTCTATCAGGAATAATAAGCCAAAATTTCGTTGTTTATGATTTTTCAAAATTTCAGTTTGAATATTTTTTTTTGAAAAACTGGAAAATTAAAAATCGAGAAAATGAAAAATTAAAAGTCAGGAACTTGAAAAATAAACAATAAAAAAACTGAAAACTTCATCGGTTAAAAAATTGAAAAATCAAAAAATTAAAAAATGAAAAACGGAAAAATATTAAAATCTAAATGGCATATTTTAAACCCACCCTTTTACTTTCCAGAGACCTCTTCAAGGAAGCCCGCAAACGCGCCCCCTGCATCATCTACATCGACGAGATCGACGCCGTGGGCCGCAAACGCAGCGCCCACCTCTCCCAGACCGGCACCAGCGGCGAGAGCGAACAAACCCTCAACCAGCTCCTGGTGGAGATGGACGGAATGGCCAGCAAAGAGAGCGTCATCATGCTGGCGTCCACCAACCGCGCCGACATCCTCGACAAGGCGCTCCTGCGCCCGGGCCGCTTCGACCGCCACATCCTCATCGACCTGCCCGACCTGGTGGAGCGCAAGCAGATCTTCGAGCAGCACCTGCGCGGCATCTGCCTGAACTGCCCCCCGGAGACCATCTCCATGCGAATGGCGCACCTCACCCCCGGCTTCAGCGGCGCCGACATCGCCAACGTGTGCAACGAGGCGGCGCTGCACGCGGCCAGGTCCAAGCAGAAGAACGTGACCAAGGAGAACCTGGAGTACGCAGTAGAGAGGCTGGTGGGCGGCACGGAGAAGCGCAACCACGCGATGTCGCCGCAGGAGAAGCGCGTGGTGGCCTATCACGAGTCGGGGCATGCTTTGGTGGGGTGGATGCTGGAGCACACGGATGCTTTACTAAAAGTATGTTGTTTTTATTTCCCGTTTCCGTCTGTCTGTCTGTCTGTCAATCGTCTGTCTGTCATCTGTATCAATTTCCAAAATTACTGGTCTGATCGTTGTCAAATTTTCTATGTATATTACGGTCAAACGCCAACCAAAGTTGGCTAATCATCCCCACTAACAATTTGACGACGTCATCTCCAAAATTTACAATAGGAAATTTGTTTTTATTTTTATAAAATAAGAGATTCCTGCACTTGTGGTCTATGAACCAGTGTTGACAAAAATGCCAAAAACGAAGAACTGAAGAAACGAAAAATTGAAACATTGTAAAACTAAAAATCGAGAAACTTAAAAAAAACTAATGAATCGAAAAATTAAAAAAAAAAGGAAAAACACATCGAATTTGAAAACTAAAAAATTGTAAAGTCGAAAAAGTGTCACATTGAAAGATCGAAAAATTGAAAAATTAAAAAATATAAAATTCAAAAAACGAAATTTGAGATCTTGAAAAAAAAAATGTAAATCTACAATCAAAAAATTTAAAAACTGAAAAATTGAGAAATCGAAAAAAGAATATTAAAAGAATTGAAAAAGCTCATTGCTCTTTGAAAAATATAAATCGAAAATCAAAAAATTGAAAAATCGGAAAATCCAAAAATCCAAAAATTTGAAAAATTGAGAAATCAAAAAAAAGAAAGTTAGAAGATTGAAAAAGCTCTTTATAGACAATTCGAAAAATTGAAAAACGAAAAATCGAAAATTCATTGAATCAAATATCCGAACAATTGAAAATTGGAAATTCGGAAAATCGAAAATTCAAAAATTTGAAAAATTGACAAATCGAAAAATGAAAAATAAAAAAAATCACAATACGATCACCGAAAAATGGCAAATTCGGGAAATTGAAAAATCGGAAAATCTAAAAATCCAAAAATTTGAAAAATTGAGAAATCAAAAAAAGAAAGAAGCCCTTTATAGAAAATTCGAAAAATTGAAAAACGAAAAATCGAAAATTCATTGAATCAAATATCCGAACAATTGAAAATTGGAAACACGAAAAGCGAAAATTCAAAAATTTGAAACATCGAGAAACCGAAAAATAAAAAATTAAAAAAAATTACAATACGATAATCGAAAAATGGAAAATTCGAAAAATCGAAAATACGTTATGCGAACAATTGAAAATTGGAAATTCGAAAAGCGAAAATTCAAAAATTTGAAAAATTGAGAAAGCGAAAAATGAAAAATTAAAAAAAATTACAATACGATCATCGAAAAATGGAAAATTCGAAAAATTGAAAAATCGATGAGCCAAATATTCGAAGAATCAAAAATCTAAATTCGAAAAATCGAAAATACGTTATCCGAACAATTGAAAATTGGAAATTTGAAAAGCGAAAATTCAAAAATTTGAAAAATCGAGAAACCGAAAAATGAAAAATTAAAAAAAATTACAATACGATCATCGAAAAATGGCAAGTTCGAAAAATTGAAAAATCGGAAAATCCAAAAATCCAAAAATTTGAAAAATTGAGAAATCAAAAAAAGGAAGTTAGAAGATTGAAAAAGCTTTTTAGAGAAAATTCGAAAAATTGAAAAACGAAAAATCGAAAATTCATTGATTCAAATATCCGAACAATTGAAAATTGGAAATTCGGAAAGTCGAAAATTCAAAAATTTGAAAAATTGAGAAATCGAAAAATGAAAAATTAAAAATTACAATACGATCATCGAAAAATTGAAAAATCGGAAAATCCAAAAATCCAAAAATTTGAAAAATTGAGAAATCAAAAAAAGGAAGTTAGAAGATTGAAAAAGCCTTTTGGAGAAAATTCGAAAAATTGGAAATCGACAAATCGAAAATTCATTGATTCAAATATCCGAACAATTGAAAATTGGAAATTCGGAAAGTCGAAAATTAAAAAATTTGAAAAATTGAGAAATCGAAAAATGAAAAATTAAAAAAAATTACAATACGATCATCGAAAAATGGAGAATTCGAAAAATTGAAAAATCGGAAAATCCAAAAATCTAAAAATTTGAAAAATTGAGAAGTCAAAAAAAGAAAGTTAGAAGATTGAAAAAGCTCTTTATAGAAAATTCGAAAAATTGAACAACGAAACGTCGAAAATTCATTGAATCAAATAACCGAACAATTGAAAATTGGAAATTCGGAAAGTTGAAAATTCAAAAATTTGAAAAATTGAGAAATCGAAAAATGAAAATTTAAAAAAAATTACAACACGATCATCGAAAAATGGAAAATTCGAAAAATTTAAAAACGAAAAGTTGAAAATCGTCTGTATCTTTTTTTTTATAATCTCTGTCTCTGTTAGAACTTTTGTTCTGTTAGTCAATAAATCTACATTATTATTATTAAAATTAAAAAATCTAAACTTGAAAAATCGAAAATTGAAAAAATTGATATGTCGAAAAATTGAAAAATCGGAAACTCGAAAAATCCAAAATATAAAAAATTGAGAAATCGAAAAAAGAAGGGAAAAAATTGAAAAATCGAAAACCTGAGAAATTGAAAATCGGAAAATCTAAATTTCGCAAAATCGGAAATTGAATAAAGCAAATATTCGAAAATTGAAAATGGAAAAATCGGAAACTCGAAATTTGGAAAAAATTTGGAATTGAAAATCTAAAAATCTAAAAATCGAAAACTAGAGAAATTGTATCGTAAAATCTCAATTTCAAAAAATGGAAAATTCGATGAGCCAAATATTCGAAGAATCAAAAATCTAAATTCAAAAAATCGAAAAATCCGAAAATCGCAAAATCGAAAAGTTATAAACTCGAAAACTGGAAAACCGAAAACTTGAAAATCGGGATTTGGAAAAATCTAAAATAGAAAAATCGAAAATCGAACAATCGAAATATGGAGAATTCCGAAATTCTAAAAATTAATAAATCTAGAAATCGAAAAATTGAAAAAGCAAAATTTAGAAAAATTGAAAAATTCAATTTCGGGAAATCTAAAAAGTGAAAACCGAAATATTGCAGATCGAAAAAGTGAAGAATATAAAAATTGAAAAATCGAAAATTTGTGAACTCGAAAATTGGAAAATAGAAAACTCGAAAAATTTGAAATAACCGAAACGTCAAAAACACGAAAATCGAAAGATCGAATATCGATAAATCCGGAAGACGAAAATAAAAAAATCGAAATCGAGAAATTGAAAATCTATAATTTGAATAATCGAAAAATCGAAAACTAGAGAAATCGAGAATCGAAAAATCTAATTTTCGAAAAAACGAAAATTGGATGAAGCAAATATTCGAAAATGGAAAGTGTAAAAATAGAAAATGGAAAAATCGGATGATAGAAAATCGAAAATTCGAAAACTCGAAAACTGGAAAATTGGAAATTCCAAAAATCTAAAATCGAAAAGTCAAAAATTCAAAAAACAGAAACGTCAAAAACTCGAAAATCGAAACATCGAAACGAAAACTCGAGAAATTGAAAATTGAAAAATCGATATTTCGAGAAATTGAAAATCGTGAAACCTAAATTTCGGAAAAACGAAAATTCCATACATCGAAAATCGAATAACTGAAAATTTAAAAACTCGAAAATTAGCAGATTGTACAATCAAAATACGAAAAATCGGAAAATCTAAAATTCGAATAATCAAAAAATTGAAAACGAGAAAAATTGAAAATTCGATGGGCCAAATATTCGAAAAATAGTGGGCCTTAAGCCCGTTGGCACTGTATTGAAATAAATAAATAAATCAATCAAAAATCGAAAATTTAAAAACTCGAAAAGTGGAATATCGAAAATCAAAAAAATTGGAAAATAGAAAACTCGAAAATTTAAAAATAAATCGAAAATTTGAAAAATCGACAATCTAGAATCGACAAATCCAACAATCGAAAATCCTAAAATTCTAAAAATTGAAAATTCAAAATTCGAGAAACCGAAAATTCAAAAAACCGAAACTTCGAAATCGAGATTTCAAAAAATTAATAAAAATTGAAAACCGAAAAATTGAATAAAATCGGAAAGTCGAAAAATTGATAAAGAAAAAAATGTAAAAAAAAAATGAAAGAACGATTATGGGAAAATAATTGAAAAACGAAAAATTCAAAATCGAGTCGGAGAAATCGAAAATCCTAAAATTTGAAAGATCAAAAAATCGAAAATCAAAATTCCTACGATCAGAAAATAGAATATCGAAAATTCAAAAACTCGAAATCTGGAAATCGAAAATTCGCAAAATGGAAAATTCGAAAATTCAAAAAACCCAAATGTTGAAAACTCGAAAATGGAGATTTCGAAAAATTTAGAACGAAAAAAGTAACAAAAATTGAAAGAACTATTATCGAAAAATCGAAAATTGAAAAACGAAGAATTAAAAATTGAACCAGAGAAATCGAAAATCCAAAAATTCCAAAAATCCAAAATCAACAAATCCGACAATTTAAAGTCCTAAAATTCGAAAATTTGAAAACATATTTCATAAAATCTAAATTCGAAAACCGAAAAATTGATAATTCAGAAAGTGGAAAAATAAAAAATTTTAAAAATTGTGAAAGAAAAAGGGTAAAAAAATTGCAAGAATGATTATCGAAAAATCGAAAATTGAAAAAATTGAAAGAAGAAGAATTCAAAATCGAACCAGACATCTCGAAAATCCTAAAATTTGAAAAATTAAAAATCCGACAACCGAGAAATAGAAAATCAAAAATCCGCAAACTCAAAAGCTGGAAATCGAAAATTTAAGATAAGATAAGTTTATTGCGCAACAGCACAAAAGGTCAGCTAACAGTGCATAAAAATTCGCAAAATCGTAAATTCAAAAAACCGAAATGTCGAAAACTCGAAAATCGAAAGTTCGAAAAATTAAAAAATCCGAAAGTCGGAAAATCAAAAATTTGAAAAATTGAGAAATCTAAGAAAAGAAATGTAAAAAAATGGAAGAACGATTATTGAAAAATCGAAAATTCAAAAAATTGAAAAATTGAAAATTCAAAAAACCGAAATCTCGAATACTTGAGAATCGAGATTTAGAAAAATCTAAAATAGAAAAATAAATAAATATAAAATAAATAGATTTATAGTCCAACCGAACATAAACATTCTATTTAGACGACAATATAACTCCTATAATAATAGTTTAAATAATTTAGTTAAAAACTAAAATAAAAATTGACATAAAATTAAGTTGAAAAATAATTATATAATTAAGTAATTCCATTACAACTCAGTGACACAAATCCACCATACATAAAAATAAAAATCGAATTCCAAAATTCGAAAAATTAAAAAAAAATGGGAAATCGAAAAATTGAAAAGGAAAGATCTCCAAAAATTGAAGAATTAAATTTCGAGATATCTAAAAATTGCAAACAGAAAAATTTCAGATCGAAAAATTGAAAAATGGAAAATTCCTTGAAAATTTGAAAACTCGAAAATTGGAAAATAGAAACATCGAAAATCGAAAAATTGGAAAGTCAAAACTCTAAAATTCAAATAATCGAAAACTAGAGAAATTGAAAATCGTGAAACTAAATATCGAAAAATCGGAAATTCGATGAAACAAATATTCGAAAAATCAAAAATCGAAAAAACGAAGAAACAAGTAACTGACAAAATTAAAATTGAAAAAACAAACTATTTAAAAAAATGAAAAATCGAAAAAGTATAAAATCTAACAATTGAAAAATTCAAAAGTTGGATAATTGAAAAACTTAAACATTTAAACTTGAAAACTCGAAAAACTGCAAATCCAAAAACTGAGAGAGCAAAAATAGTTTTAATTTAAAACTTGAATAATTGAAAAATTTTGCGGAAATGCTTATTTGAACTTTGTAAATGTTGTCAAAAATCGCATTTTTTTTTTTAATTTTTTAAAAAAGGATTTGTTAGTCTGCACTTCAAGAACAAGGAAAGTTCAATCGAAATAACATTTTATTTAAGTAAAGACTTAAGTCGACTTATTTTTGTTGGTTTTAGGTGACGATAGTCCCCAGAACGAATCTAGCCCTAGGTTTCGCCCAGTACATCCCCCGCGACCAAAAACTCTACACGAAAGAAGAACTCTTCGAACGGATGTGCATGACCCTCGGGGGCAGAGTAGCGGAGTCCCTAATTTTCAACAGGATCACCACGGGGGCCCAGAACGACCTAGAAAAAGTAACCAAAATGGCGTACGCTCAAGTCCGGGAGTTCGGGATGAGTGACAACGTGGGGCTGGTGTGTTTCCCGGAGCAGGAGGTCCAGGAAAGAGGAAGGAGACCCTACAGCAAAAAGTTGGCGAATTTGATTGACATGGAGGCGCGAACTTTGGTGACTAGAGCGTATAAGAAAACTGAGGAGGTGTTGATGCAGAATAAAGACAAGTTGGAGTTGGTGAGGGTTATTATTATTATTATTGTGGCTGTGGTGACGTTGTGGTTGTTGTAGCTTGCAGAGACTCTTTTAAAGAAGGAAACTTTGAATTATGATGACGTTGAGGGTCTTCTGGGGCCTCCTCCTTTCGGTGCCAAGCACTTGATCGAGCCTGCGGAGTTCGAGGAGTCGGTGAGGAAGGACGCCGGTGATACGAAGCCTGCGGACTCGAAGTCTCAAGCTAATACGTCTGCGCCGAAGGTGTGAGATAGTGTTCATATTGTAGATAGTCTTATTGATGAACAAATTATATTTATGTTTATTGAAGTTGGGTTTTATTTCATTTATACCTTACCCTGTTTCCTTTTCTGACATTTTTTTTTCTTTTTCTGTGTTATATTTGGGCCTCACGTGTTATCACAATTTGTTTATAACCGAACCTGTTTGTATAATTGGTTGCCTATGTCCGATTTTGTACGACTGGTTGCCTATTTTATTTTGAATATAATTCTGATTGTTATATACAGCGTGATCACTGATCATACTGATCAAGTATTGTTTCAGTTGGTGTCAATGAATTTTGCTTGAAATTGGTATACCTGTCACTCCAGACTCCACGTTACTTCCTGTTGTCATAATTGACAAGTGACATTTAATTTACGTCAAAATTTTAATTTCGAAAAATTGAAAGATTGAAAACTCGGAAAATCAAAAATTCAAAAAACGAAATGTTGAAAACTCAGAAACAGATTTCGAAAAATCAAAGTCCGAAAATGAAACTATCGAAATTACGAACAATTGAATAAACGAGAAATCGAACTCGAGAAATCGAAAATCCTAAAATTCGAAAAGTCGAAAATTAAAAAATCCAACATTCGAAACATAGAACATTGAAAAATCGAAAATTTGAAAAACTGAGAAATCGAATAAAGAAAAGAAAACGAATTGAAAAAGCGATTACTGAAAATTCGAAATATTGAAAACGAGAAATTCAAAATAAACCGAAAAATCGAACTCGAGAAGTCGAAAATTTTAAAATCCACATCAACAAATTCGATAATTGAAAGTCTAAAAAACTCTAAAACCAAAATTTCGAAAAATCTGAAATCAAGAAACGATAAATTCCACAATCGACAAGTCGAAAAATTAAAAATTTGAAGAATTGAGAAAGAAAAAATGTGAAAAATTGAAAGAACGATTATCGAAAATTGAAAAAACTGAAAAACGAAGAACTGAAAATCGAACCAGAGAAATTGAAATTCCAAAAATTCGAAAAATCGAAAATCGAGATTTCAAAAAATCTGAATTGTAAAACCAAAAATTGGAAAACCAAAAATTTGAAAAATTGAAGAAGAAAAAAAGGATAAAAAAATTGAAAGAACGGTTATCGAAAAATCAAAAATGCAAGAAATTGATAAACGACGAATTAAAAATCGAACCAAAGAAATCTAAATTCCTAAAATTTGTACAATTGGGTGCCTACTTTAAGCCGAGTATAATTCTGGTTTTTGGCCAATAGCAATGCTTTTTCCGAATTGTTTTCATTTTTTTGTTTCTCCAATTATTTGATTTGTAAAAGCTACTGGAGTAAACAACTTGGAAATTTCGATGACAAATCAAATGTTCGGAAAATCGGAAAGTCAAAATATCGAAAATTTAAAAAATCGAGAATTCGAAAAATTGAAAATTAACGAAAAACCGAAAATCAAAAACTCGAGATCAAAAAATCTAAAATTCGAAAAATTGAACATTTTTATTTCTACAAATCGAAATACCAAAAATTCGATGAAGCGAATGTTCGAAATATCGAAAATCGGAAATCCAAAAAATCACGAAATGTCAAAAACTCAAAAATAGGAACTTCGAAAAATCAACATCCGAAAATCAAAAAATCGAACAATAGAGAAATCGAAAACTGGTAAAAAAATTAAAAAAAAGCTTGTTCGAAGTTTCGAACAATTGAAGAACGAAAAGATCTCGAGAAATCGAAAATCCTAAAATTCGAAAAATCGAAAATCAAACAATTAAATAATCAAAAAATAGAAAATGGAAACATTGGGAATTCAAAAAAAAAATAAATCGAAAATTTGAAAAATCAAAAATCTAGAATCGACAAATCCAACAATCAAAAATCCTAAAATTCGAAAAATTGAAAATCCAAAATTCGAAAAAACCGAGATTTCGAAAAATTAAAAACAGAAAAACTGAATAAAATCGGAAACTAGAAAAATTGATAAAGAAAAAAAATGTAAAAAAATTGAAAGAACGAGTATGGGAAAATCGAAAAATCAAAAAATTGAAAAACGAAAAATTCAAAATCGAGCCAGAGAAATTGAAAATCCTGAAATTTGAAAGATCAAAAAATCGAAAATCAAAATTCCGACAATCAGGAAATAGAATATCGAAAATTCAAGAAAAATTGAAAAATCAAAAAGTCGAAAAAGAAAAATTTTTTAAATTGAGAAAACTAAAAAAAGAAAACTGAGACGATGATTATTATTGCAAAAAACGAAAATTCAAAAAATTGAAAAACGGAAAATTGAAAATTGAACACGAGAAATCAAAAATACTAAAATTTGATAAATCAAAAATCGAAAACTCGAAAATTGGAAATCGAAAATTCGCAAACTGGAAAACTCGAAAAATTGAGAACGAAAAAAGTAACAAAGAACAAAAATCGAAAATGGAAAAACGCAGAATTGAAAATTGAACCAGAGAAATTGAAAATCCAAAAATTCCAAAAATCCAAAATCAACAAATGCGACAATTAAAAGGCCTAAAATTCGAAAATTTGAAAACTGATATTTCAAAAAATCTAAATTCGAAAACCGGAAAATTGATAATTCGGAAAGTGGGAAAATCAAAAATTTTAAAAATAAAGAAAGAAAAAAGGGAAAAAATTGAAAGAACGATTATCGAAAAATCGAAAATTGAAAAAATTGAAAATCGAACCAGAGATCTCGAAAATCCTAAAATTTGAAAAATCAAACAATCGAAAATCAAAAATCCGACAACCGGGAAATAGAAAATCGAAAATTCGAAAACTCGAAAGCTGAAAATCGAAAATTTAAGATAAGATAAGTTTATTGCACAACAGTGCATAAAAATTCGCAAAATCGTAAATTCAAAAAACCGAAATGTCGAAAACTCGAAAATCGAAAGTTCGAAAAATTGAAAAATCGGAAAGTCGAAAAATCAAAAATTTGAAAAATTGAAAAATCGAACAATCCGAAATGAATAATCCGACATTAGAGAAATAGAAAATCGAAAATTCAAAAATTCGAAAACTGGAAATCCAAAAAATTCGAAAAATTGAAAATTCAAAAAACCAAAATGTTGAAAACTCGAAAGTCGAAAAATCAATATTTTTTAAAAATTGAGAAATCTAAAAAAAGTAAAAACATGTATAAAACGATTATTGAAAAACCGAAAATCAAAACATTGAAAAACAAAAAATCGAAAACTGAACCAAAGAAACCCAAAATACTAAAATTTGGAAAATCGTAAATCAAAAATCCGACCATCGAAAAATCGAAATTCATTGGCTCGAAAACTGGAAATTGAAAATTCAAAATCTAAATGTCGAAAAGTCGAACTTCGAGACTTCGAAAAGCCGAAAACCGAAAAATTGAAAGATCGGAAATCAGAAAAATAAAAAAATTGAAAAATTGACAACTATAAAAGAAAAAGAAAAAAATTGGAAGAACGATTATCGAAATATTGAAAGACGAAAAACGAAAAATATAAAATTGAACAAACAATTCGAAAATCCTAAAATTTGAATAATCGAAACATTGAAAATCAAAAAATCCGACAATCGAAAAATAGAAAATCGAGATTGATTTCGAAAAAAACGAAAAATGGGAAACTCGAAAAAGTGAATTATTGAAAAATCGAAAATTCAAAAATATTGATAAACGAAAAATTGAAAATTGAACCAGAGAAAGCGAAAAACCTAAAATCTGAAAAATGAAAAAATCGAAAATCTAAAAATCCGACAATCGAAAAATAGAATATCGAAAATTCGAACAATCGAAAATTCTAAAAAACGAAATGTCGAAATCTCGAAAATTGAGATTTCGAAAAGCCTAAAATCGAAAATCGAATACAGAGAAATCGAAAAATCGGGAATTCAAAAAAATAAAAATTTTTACAAATTTTGAAATCGAAAAAAAACAATTATCAATGAATCGAAAATTCGAAAAATTGAAAAACGAAAAATCAAAAATTAAAGAATCAAATATTCGAAAAACCGAAAATCAAAAATTTGAAAAATCGAAAACTCGAAAAATCGAAAACTGTAAAATGAACAATCGGAACGTTTAAAGATCAAAAAATTTGAAAAATTGAGATCCAAAAAAGAAAGGTAAAAAGACTGGAAGATTATTGAAAAATCGAAAATTCACGAAAAATTGAAAGTTGAATAAGTGAAATCGAAAAACCTAAAATTTAAAAAAGAAAAAGTCATCAAACGAAAAATAGAACATCGAAAATTCGAAAAACCGAAATGTCGAAAACTCAAAAATCGAGATTTCGAAAAATTGAAAAATCAGAATGTCGAAAAATATCAAATATTTGAAAAACTGAAAAATTTAAAAAAAGAAAGGTAAAACAATTGGAAGAACGAAAAACTAGAGAAATTGAAAGTTCTAAAATTTCAAAAATCGAAAAATAGTACATCAAAAATTCGAACAATTGAAAATTACAAAAACCGAAATGTCGAAAATCTAGATTTCAGAAAAATCTAAAATCGGAAACCGAAAATAAAGAAATTGAAAAATCGTAAAGTCGGAAAATCAAAAATTTTAAATATTCAGAAAGCGAAAAAAGAAAGATATGCAATTGAAAAAACAATTACCCATCGAAGAATTGAAAATTCGAAAAATTGAAAAACGAAAAATCAAAAATTAAAAAAATCAAATACATATTCGAAAAAACGAAAACTCGAGAAATCGAAAACCGAAAAATAGAAATTTTCTGAATTCGAAAACCGAAAATTCGAGATTGAAAATTCGAATAAACGAAAATCTAAAGTCGGAAAGTCAGAAACTGAAAAATCGAAAATGCAAAAGTTGACAATGGAAAAATGAAAAAACGAAAATTCAAAAACTGGCAAATCGAAAATTCGACAATTCGAAAATACAAAAAACCGAATTGCTGAAAATCTAGATTTAGAAAAATTAAAAAATAGAAAAGCCGAAAATTCAAAAAAATTGAAAAACGAAAAATTGAAAGTTGAATAAGAGAAACTGTGATGTCGAAAACTCGAAAACTGAGATATCGAAAACTCTAAACTCCAAAACCGAAAATAGAGAAATCGAAAAATCGGGCAGTCAAAAAATAAAAAGAAATATAGATTTTGAACTGGAAAAAAGAAAAAACAATTATCGATGAATCGAAAATTCAAAAAATGAAAAACGAAAAATCAAAAATTTGATAAATTGAGAAATCAAAAATTGAAAGAACTATTATTGAAAAATCGAATATTCAAAAAATTTAAAAACGAAAAATTGAAAATCCTAAAGTTTGCAAAATCGAAAATCAAAAATCCGACAATCGAAAAATAAAAAAAAAGAAAAATTGAAAACTCGAAATCGAAAATTTGCAAAATCGAAAATTCAAAAACCTGAAATATCGAAATGTCGACTTTTAAAAATGTAAATTCGAAAACCAAAAAACTGAACAATCAGAAAGTCGAAAATCAAAAAACTGAGATTCAAAAAAGGAAAAAAAATGAAAGAACGCATATCAAAAAATCGAAAATTCAAAAATCAACAAATACGACAATTGAACGTCTTAAATTTGAAAAATTCAAAATCAAAAATTGAAAACGCGAAAACTGAAAATCAAAAATTTGCAAAATGGAAAATTTGAGAATTCAAAAAACCGAAATGTCGAACACTCGAAAATCAAGATTTCGAAATATCTAAATGCGAAAACCGAGAAATTGAAAAATCGGAAAATCGAAACATCAAAAATTTGAAAAAAAGTTAAAGAACGATTATCAAAAATCGAATATTCAAAAAAACTGAAAGACGAAGAATGAAAATCGAACCAGAGAAATCAAAAATTCTAAAATTTGAAAAATCAAAAAATCGAAAATCAAAAATCCGACAATAGAGAAATAGAAACCAAAAATTCGAAAAATCGACAATTCGAAAAGTCGGAAAATCGAAAACTCAAAAATTTGAAAAATTGAGAAATCAAAAATTGAAAGAATGATTATTGAAAAATCGAAAATTTGCAAAATAGAAAATTCAAAAAATCGAAATATCGAAATCTCGATTTTTTTTAAATGTAAATTCGAAAACCAAAAAATTCAACAATCGGAAAGTCGAAAATCAAAAAAATTAGATTTAAAAACGGAAAAAAATGAAAGAACGAAAAACGATGAATTGAAAATCGAACCAGAGTAACCGAAAATCCAAAAATTCGAAAAATCAAAAATCAACATATACGACAATTGAACGTCCTAAATTTGGAAAATTCAAAATTCAGAAAATCAAAATGTTCCAAACTCCAAAATCGAGATTTAAAAAAATTTGAATTCGAAAATCGAAAAGTTGAAAAACGGAAATTAAAAAATCAATACTTGAAAAAAGGTTGAAAAAAAGAAAAACGAAAAATTCGAAAATTCTAGATGACGACAAACGAGAATCGCAATTTTGAAAAATTGAAAAATCGGAAAGTCGAAAACCAAAAATTTGAAAAATTGAGAAATCTGAAAGAAGGAAGATAAAAAACTGAGAGAACGATAGTTGAAAAATCGAAAATTCAAAGAATTGAACAACGAAAACTTGAAAATCGAACTAGAAAATCCTAAAATTTGAAAAATTGAAAAATCGAAAATGAAAAATCCGACAGTGGAAAAATAAAAAATCGAAAAATCAAAAATATGAAAACTCGAAAACTAGAAATCGAAAATTCGAAAAATCGAAAACCGAAAAATTGAAAAATAGGAAAGTCGAAAAATCAAAAATTTGAAAAATCTAAAAAAGAAATTTAAGAAAACTAAAAGAACGATTATTGAGGAATCGAAAAAAGAAAAACGAAAAATAGAAAATTGAAAAATCGAAAACTCGAATACCAAAATTCGAAAAATTGAATATTCAAAAAACTGAAATGACGAAAATTCGGAAATTGAGATTTCAAAAAATCTAAAGTGGAAAACCGTAAATAGAGAAATCGAAAAAAGAAAGGTATACAAATTGAAAAAACCGTTATCCAAGAATCGAAAATTCGAAGAACTGAAAAACGAAAAATAAAAAATTAAAGAATCAAACACTAGAAAAATCGAAAATCGAAAATTGGATCTTAATTTTGAAAATTGTAAGAACCGAAAATTTGATGAAACAGTTATTCGAAAAATGAAAATAGAAACATTCGGAAACCAAAAAAACGAAATTTTGAAAACTCTAAAACTGGAAAATCAACAACGAAAAAATCATAAAATCAAAACAGGGAAAATTCAAAAAACCAAAATGTCGAATATTTGAAAATCGAGATTCTGAAAAATCTAAAGCAGAAAAATCAAAATATCGAAAACTCGAAAAACCAAAAATTCCAAAATTCCGAAAATTAAAAAATGAAAAAAAAAATAACTGTAAAGTATATAGTTAGAAAATTAAATCGTAACAATTAAATTGGAACACAGTGATTTTTCATATTTAAAAATGTTATTTTTTTGTACGTGTAGTTCTTCATTGATGTATCCTTGGATAGACAAAGACAACCACTACGGTTCAAGCCTCTGATTCACGGTAAGAAGACACTGCCTCTCGGATGCTTTGAAACACAGCTAGAGCTAAAATTTAATGTCGGCAGTTAAGTATATTTTAATGACATTTTACATTGTCAAAACGACCCTTTTAGATAGGTACTCAGCAAACCCAACAAAAACAAAATTATAGCAACCTGAGCACGTAATTAACAAACAAAAAAAAATACCGAGGAAGCAAAAACACCCATTCATAAAAACCACTACCAACATCAAAATAACCGAAAAACGTCACTACAGAACGATTTTCTCCACATCAAAACCGACCAGTAGGTACTGCAACCGACACGGAAGTACCACTTTTCACACAGAATCGTTAAACTCGCCCGTATATCGGTTTCAAATCGGAATTTAATGGACCAAGTCCAAGCTTCGGCACTCATCTCTTTCTAAAACAAAACGTTGTTGGTGGTCGCCGCTGGGTCTGAGACAAACGCATTCCATAGATTTCACTCGACTGACCCAACGCGTCGAGTACCTGCTTTACCTGCCATGCAATTATACATTTCCGCTCAAGGATGATGCTTTATGGCTTTATCAGCGCGGCGTAGACAGAACGAAAGAAAAGATTTATGGAATGTGGAAAAAGTACCAAAGGGAAAAAGAATTTCGGTGTAGTACCAAACGTAATCTCCGGTTGTATTTTCGTGTCATTTTTCACCATTTTGAGTATTCTTCATCTCCTTTTATTCGGGTACCTTTGGTACTAGCGACCACACTCGATGCGTAATTTTCACGCACTGCAGCGACTTCAAAAACCCATTTTCTTTAACTCAATGAATCTCTAGCCTCTTCAGCGTCAAGATTTCCTGGAAAACAGGTAGTACCACTTCTCTTTAAACTTGCCGCGGCTGGCGAACGGTGGGGCTCAGTCTCAGTACCTCAGTAGCAAACCAAGTTTCTCAAGAGAAGCACGATGTTGAAGAGTTTCTTCCGATATCTCCTCCAACTTGCTAGTGTTTGAACCTTTTTCGACACCCAACGTCACCAGTTTCCCCGTAAGTACCACAGTCACGTTTCCACGTACCCACTTACCCCAGATCTCGCCCGTCGCCTTGATTAATTTAAACTGGCCTTAGGCTAAATTAACAATTACGCGCTTTAAATGCTGCTGCGCTTAATTTCAGCACCGACCAAGACTTTTCGGTCGTACGAGATCGTTCGAAAAATTTTGTTTTCCGGTTTGTGACTTAATGTGTGTTGATTTAGCGACGATTTATATGTTAATTGGCGCATTCTCAGGTGTTGTGGTGCGACGTCACTGCAAGGTTTTCGTGCGAGATACGAATGGTTTTCGATTTGTTTTGATGATTTTTTTTTTGTGGAAAGTTATCGATTTTTGTTTTGTCGGCGTTTCGGCGCGCAATTATCGAAAAAATGCGCGTTTTCGCAACGTCCTGGAGATTATCTCGTCTGAATTTGGTAATTGGCATGTTTTATAAATATGTCGAGTTGTATGTATTTATCGCATTCTTGAATGTTATTAAGTTGATGTGAAAAATTTTATTTGTTAGTTTATGAATGGGCTACGGCGTCACGGTGTTTCACTATCGACTGGTGAGTGATGATAAGTCGGATGTTTCGAATTTCTTCGCTTTTATTGTGTATGTTGTATTTTTAAAATTGTGGATGATTTGAGGTTGATTATGTCTACGTGGAACACCTTGTATATTTAAAAATAACATAAAATTTATAGAGTAAGTTAGTTCTATATTAAACACCGTCAAAGAATTTTTTAAGGGGTGTGATAATACACTCAGAACGTTATTTTTGTATCTATTAAAATTTTATGTCTTAATTTTGAGGGGCTGACCAGCACACCATATACTAGGTATCCATATTCCAAATATTTATGTATGAACCAGAGTATCGTGACGTTGGGTCATCGCCTTAATAAAGTATTACATCAGCAGCTCCTAAATCATTAATATATATTGTAAACAGCAAGGGGCCTAAAATGGAACCCGTGGCATTGCGAGAATTATGTTATTATAGGTTAAAGTTGTACAAATATTTTAATTTTTCTCTATCTTCATCTAAAAATAAGTTTGAGTAATGTTTTTTTTTTCAAATATCTTTACAAATTTAGAATCAGTTGTGTAATTCTATGATTTTCTGTCAACAGATTATGTTTCATAAAAAAGGTGAAACTTATAGTTTTATTATCAGGTAACGTTAAAATGCGAGCGCAGCGAGCACGTCCAGGTGAGATTTAAAAAAATATCTTTTTGTGTCCCTGAGAAGCTAAATTATTAAAAACAATTTTGTGGTTATTTAAAAATGTGAATTTAAACATTGTGTTCAATTTTCGATTTTTCGTTACGATTTTTCAGTTTCTCAAGTTAATTTTAGGATTCTTCAACTTTTCGTTTCTTCAATTTCTCGATTTACATTTTTCCATTTTTTGTTATTTTAATGTTTTAATTCGTAATTTTTCAATCTACATTTTTCATATTTTCAACTTTTCGTTTTTACCGTTTTTCCTTCCCGCATTTTCGAGTTTTCGATTTTTCAGTTTCTCAATTTTTAATTTTAGTGTCCTTGAACTTTTCGTATTTTAGTTTTTCGATCTTATTTTTTCCGTATTTTCCAAGTTTTTGTTTTTGCAATTTTCCAGTTACTCGCATTTTTAATTTCTCAATTTTTCGTTTTTATAATTTTTCGATTTCCCGGTTTCTCAGTTTTTTATTTAAGGTTTTTAAAATTTTTCGTGTCTTCAATTTTTTAGATTGCCAATTTTTTTTCGATTTGCGGTTTCTCACTTCTTACTTTTTCTTAAAAATTTTACAATTTTTCGATTTTTCACATTTTCAATTTCTCGCCTTCAAACTTTTAGTTTTTCAATTTTTCGATTTTTCAGTTTCTCAAGTTTTAATTTTAGGATTATTCAACTTTTCGTTTCTTCAATTTTTCGATTTACATTTTTCCGATTTTTCAATTTTTTGATATTTAACTTTTCCATTTTTTGTTACTTTAATGTTTTAATTTGTAATTTTTCAATTTATTTTTTTCATATTTTCAACTTTTCGTTTTTACCATTTTTCCTCTTGCCGATCTTTGGAATTTTCCTGTTTCCGCATTTTCGAGTTTTCGATTTTTCAGTTTGTCAATTTTTAATTTTAGTGTCCTTGAACTTTTCGTATTTTAGTTTTTCGATCTTATTTTTTCCGTATTTTCCAAGTTTTTGTTTTTGCAATTTTCCAATTATTCACATTTTTAATTTCTCGATTTTTGGTTTTTATAATTTTTCGATTTCCCGGTGTCTCAGTTTTTAATTTTAGGTTTTTAAAATTTTTCGTGTCTTCAATTTTTCTTCGGTTTGCGGTTTCTCACTTCTTACTTTTTCTTAAAAATTTTACAATTTTTCGCTTCAATTTTTCGATTTTTCAGTTTCTCAAGTTTTAATTTTAGGATTCTTCAACTTTTCGTTTCTTCAATTTTTCGATTTACATTTTTCCGATTTTTCAATTTTTTGTGACTTTAATGTTTTAATTTGTAATTTTTCAATCTACTTTTTTCATATTTCCAACTTTTCGTTTTTACCATTTTTCCTCTTGCCGATCTTTCGAATTTTCCTGTTTCCGCATTTTCGAGTTTTCGATTTTTCAGTTTGTCAATTTTTAATTTTAGTGTCCTTGAACTTTTCGTATTTTAGTTTTTCGATCTTATTTTTTCCGTATTTTCCAAGTTTTTGTTTTTGCAATTTTCCAATTATTCACATTTTTAGTTTCTCGATTTTTGGTTTTTATAATTTTTCGATTTCCCGGTGTCTCAGTTTTTAATTTTAGGTTTTTAAAATTTTTCGTGTCTTCAATTTTTTTTCGGTTTGCGGTTTCTCACTTCTTACTTTTTCTTAAAAATTTTACAATTTTTCGTTTCAATTTTTCGATTTTTCAGTTTCTCAAGTTTTAATTTTAGGATTCTTCAACTTTTCGTTTCTTCAATTTTTCGATTTACATTTTTCCGATTTTTCAATTTTTTGTTACTTTAATGTTTTAATTTGTAATTTTTCAATCTACTTTTTTCATATTTCCAACTTTTCGTTTTTACCATTTTTCCTCTTGCCGATCTTTCGAATTTTCCTGTTTCCGCATTTTCGAGTTTTCGATTTTTCAGTTTCTCAATTTTTAATTTTAGTGTCCTTGAACTTTTCGTATTTTAGTTTTTCGATCTTATTTTTTCCGTATTTTCAAGTCTTTGTTTTTGCAATTTTCCAATTATGTATTCACATTTTTGATTCCTCGATTTTTCGTTTTTATAATTTTTCGATTTCTCGGTTTCTCAGTTTTTAATTTTAGGTTTTTAAAATTTTTCGTTTCTTCAATTTTTTAGATTGACAATTTTTTTCGGTTTGCGGTTTCTCACCTCTTACTTTTTCTTAAAAATTTTACAATTTTTCGTTTTTTCACATTTTCAATTCCTCACTTTCAAACTTTTGGTTTTTCAATTTTTCGATTTTTCAGTTTTTCAAGTTTTAATTTTAGGATTCTTCAACTTTTCGTTTCTTCTATTTTTCGATTTACATTTTTCCGATTTTTCAATTTTTTGATATTTTAATTTTTCCATTTTTTGTTACTTTAATGTTTTAATTTGTAATTTTTCAATCTACTTTTTTCATATTTCCAACTTTTCGTTTTTACCATTTTTCCTCTTGCCGATCTTTCGAATTTTCCTGTTTCCGCATTTTCGAGTTTTCGATTTTTCAGTTTCTCAATTTTTAATTTTAGTGTCCTTGAACTTTTCGTATTTTTAGTTTTTCGATCTTATTTTTTCCGTATTTTCAAGTTTTTGTTTCTGCAATTTTCCAATTATTCACATTTTTGATTTCTCGATTTTTCGATTTTATAATTTTTCGATTTCTCGGTTTCTCAGTTTTTAATTTTAGGTTTTTAAAATGTTTCGTGTCTTCAATTTTTTAGATTGCGAATTTTTTTTCGGTTTGCGGTTTCTCGCTTCTTACTTTTTCTTAAAAATGTTACAATTTTTCGTTTCAATTTTTCGATTTTTCAGTTTCTCAAGTTTTAATTTTAGGATTCTTCAACTTTTCGTTTCTTCACTTTCTCGATTTACATTTTTTCGATTTTTCAATTTTTTGATATTTTAATTTTTCCATTTTTTGTTACTTCAATGTTTTAATTTGTAATTTTTCAATCTACTTTTTTCATATTTTCAACTTTTCGTTTTTACCATTTTTCCTCTTGCCGATCTTTCGAATTTTCCTGTTTCCGCATTTTCGAGTTTTCGATTTTTCAGTTTCTCAATTTTTAATTTTAGTGTCCTTGAACTTTTCGTATTTTAGTTTTTCGATCTTATTTTTTCCGTATTTTCAAGTCTTTGTTTTTGCAATTTTCCAATTATGTATTCACATTTTTGATTCCTCGATTTTTCGTTTTTGTAATTTTTCGATTTCTCGGTTTCTCAGTTTTTAATTTTAGGTTTTTAAAATTTTTCGTTTCTTCAATTTTTTAGATTGACAATTTTTTTCGGTTTGCGGTTTCTCACCTCTTACTTTTTCTTAAAAATTTTACAATTTTTCGTTTTTTCACATTTTCAATTCCTCACTTTCAAACTTTTGGTTTTTCAATTTTTCGATTTTTCAGTTTTTCAAGTTTTAATTTTAGGATTCTTCAACTTTTCGTTTCTTCTATTTTTCGATTTACATTTTTCCGATTTTTCAATTTTTTGATATTTTAATTTTTCCATTTTTTGTTACTTTAATGTTTTAATTTGTAATTTTTCAATCTACTTTTTTCATATTTCCAACTTTTCGTTTTTACCATTTTTCCTCTTGCCGATCTTTCGAATTTTCCTGTTTCCGCATTTTCGAGTTTTCGATTTTTCAGTTTCTCAATTTTTAATTTTAGTGTCCTTGAACTTTTCGTATTTTTAGTTTTTCGATCTTATTTTTTCCGTATTTTCCAAGTTTTAGTTTTTGCAATTTTCCAATTATTCACATTTTTAATTTCTCGATTTTTTGTTTTTATAATTGTTCGATTTCCCGGTGTCTCTGTTTTTAATTTTAGGTTTTTAAAATTTTTCGTGTCTTCAATTTTTTTTCGGTTTGCGGTTTCTCGCTTCTTACTTTTTCTTAAAAATTTTACAATTTTTCGTTTCAATTTTTCGATTTTTCAGTTTCTCAAGTTTAAATTTTAGGATTCTTCAACTTTTCGTTTCTTCAATTTTTCGATTTACATTTTTCCGATTTTTCAATTTTTTGTTACTTTAATGTTTTGATTTGTAATTTTTCAATCTACTTTTTTCATATTTCTAACTTTTCGTTTTTACCATTTTTCCTCTTGCCGATCTTTCGAATTTTCCTGTTTCCGCATTTTCGAGTTTTCGATTTTTCAGTTTCTCAATTTTTAATTTTAGTGTCCTTGAACTTTTCGTATTTTAGTTTTTCGATCTTATTTTTTCCGTAT